CTTTCCCTCAGCATGGCCCAGAATTGTTGTCCCACCCCCTAGTTAAGGGCCACAGCTACCAAATCTAGGAGGAAGCAGGAGGATTTTCACTTGTGGCCCCTCCATGCTCACACCATGGTGAGCTGTGCCCAAACCACTGAAAAAGAGCAGGTAGCCTTCCTGTTCCTGTGTGGTGAAGAGCAGGATCCTCACCTGGGAGGAATATCAACCCTAGGTAAAGTGGGCCATGTGGCTGTAGGAGAATCCTGTCACTCACCACATACTATGCACTGTATCAGGTCTGGCTGAGCTGATTTTCCCATAACAGCCCTCCTGGTGAGAGTTAGAAGGGTGTTGATAACACCCATGTTGTGAGCACCACTGAGCAGTGCTCGCACAGCACCAAGGCTCTTTCTAACATTCCCCCCCACAATGGGACAGGGGGGCAGGATCTTGACGAGAACACACCCAGGACAGCTGACCCGAACTAACCAAATGGATGTTCCAGGCCAGATGACGTCAGCTCAACTATAAAGCTAAGCAATGCCGCGCGTAGAAGCAAAGAGCAAAACCAAAGAGTTATTTTCTACTTCCCATCAGCAGGCGATATCTGGCACCCCTGATTCCATACCATTTGTGTCATGCTCAGGCCCCACCTAACACGTTTCTTTAATCTTCCTTTCTTCTTATCTTCTTTCATTCTTCTTCTTATCACCATCCTTCTTTTCTTCTTTACATTCAGTTTCCATTACTGAAGTTTCTTCATATCAACACGTCTTCTCCTGTTCCATGGGCTGATCGTTGTGCTCCAGCAACAGCTAGGTTCATGTCATCATTGCACTCATATGGTTCCTTGCAAATTTCACTCTTTGTCATTTCAGGTCATACCTACTGCCTCACTTTCTGCGACATACAACTTACAGCACAGATTACTTTCCCTCCAAGGTTAAAACTCCTTGAGGTACACACCATGTGTGCCCATCCTCCCTCATCACCCACCAAGTACACCCAGGTCCTGCCCAAACAGAACCTCTATGGGAGAGAACTACTGTGGGAGAAGACAAGGTCACTGTAGTGCACCCAGGGAAATGGCTGAGGAAAGCAGAGTGGATTGCTCCTCCCTTGGGAAAAGGCAAACCCATTCGTGGGATTGTTTCTGCTCAAGGACATGCACATAATTCACAAGTCAAAGTGCAAGGTCCTGAACCAGGGTCAGGCCAATCCTGGACACAGTTACAAACTGGGTATAGAGCTGGCTGAGAGCAGCCCTGAAGAGAAGAACTTGGGGGTGCTGATTGACGAGGAGCTCAATATGAGCTGGCTGTGCGCTCATGCAGCCCAGAATGCCAACCATATCCTGGGATGCATCAAGAGGGGTGTGGCCAGCAGATCAAGGGAGGTGGGTTTCCCCCTTTACTCTGCTCTTGTGAGACCCCACCTTGAATACTTCATCCAGTTCTGGTGTCCTCACCATAATAGGGACATAATAGGGTCATTTCTGGGCAGGAGACCTGGATAGCTGCATGCCCACTGATGTGATTGATTCCCAGTTCTGCACATTTAGTTCTGTCTGCCCTGCCCAAGGAGTACTGTGATGATTAAAGACTTGACCTA